ATAATCCTTTTGCATAGATGGCATCTTTGTACGTAGCTTATATTGATACAAACATTGCTTATATAGAATGCATTATATTTAATATAAACCTTATATGAGCAGATTGTTGCTTATTCATTATGTCTACTACAACAGAATTCTGTTTCCTCGCATCCAAATGCTCTTTAAAAATGTTAAAATCTTAAATCACTAATAATACACAAAGAGCCCTAAACATTAGAAGGTGTTTTTTTCAGGGCAGGTATGTGTGTGGGTGGAGGGGTCCTCATTTTTATTCTTCTTCCTCCTCCCTTAGATTTATGTCAGGATTCTTTATCATCTTTGAATGCATTCCTTGTTCAGAGAAGTTGGTTTCACTGGATGGATAAAACTTTCTTTACCTGTTTTGTTACATAACATTATAATACAGTCAATGCTCTCAGCAGAAACAGAAGTGAATTAACTGTAAAAATTTGAATGTCAAGGGAGGCAATACTGTTCTTCACTTTCTCTGAAACCACCACATCCAACTGATACAGTAGTAAATGTTTCTTTTGTCTCTAGCCATAGTAGTTTTTTGCTCCTGTGATTGTCATTTTTTGCTGCTTTGATTGTCGTTACTGTTAACTTACTTATTTTTTTTACTGTGTGCTTTTTGGTTTGTGATTTAGTTTTGGAGTTTTGCATCGGGGTCCTGCTCTTCTGCAAATACTTCTTTACCTGCCTTGCCTTCAGTTTCATAGCCTCTCTGGCTAACAGCAGTTTCTTTTTCAACATTTACTACTCCTGGGAAGATTATGACTATAATAATATAAACCAGCTAGATTTTTGCAATTTTGCTGCTCACTTGCTTGCTAGTACTATAACAACAACAATAACTGTGTCGGTAGATAAAGACTTGAAGAAGGTGTTAAAGGCTTCCTATCAGTTCACATTTTGGAAGGTTATTGTTACCAGTATAATTTTCACAATATCTTTACATATGTTTTTATTTAAATTGAATAATGTGATAGTATAGTTCACTAGTTTTGGAAAGTCATAACATCTACTGATTTTAGCAGTCCTCTGTAGCTAGTTCAGGGTACTTCCAGTGTGCAAGGAGAGAAGGGCACTGGAGGAGTAGGCCAGGATTGTTCTTTAATGAAGTGCTGGTTGTGGGTCCCATACCCATGTTTAAGGCTTCATTTAATGTTCCATTTAAACAAGAAACTTAAAAATTTTTTGAAAATAAGGAATTTAGAGACCAAGTAACTGGTAAAACATGGTGATGACTTCAGTTATCTCTGTACAAACTCTTTCTGTTTCCCATTTCAACTGTTTACAGATGCATAGACCTATAGAAGAACACTTTAGGGCACACAGGCCGCATCCACACAGACGGGCGTATGTTTGCAGCAGCACAAATAGTGGGACACAGATTAGTGCTGCTACTTTGTGCTGCAGTGCACACCCTTGCTCATGCGGTTTGTAGTGAGATATATATTGTCCTGTTGCAGGGGGGACTGGCTGGGGTACAGAGTGCCTCAGTGTAGGGCTAGCCAGCAGGCAGCCCCCACACTGGGCACCTTGTGTCCCAGGCAGCCAGGGAATAGTACATGGGGACACACTGTAGAGCCTCCACACTGAGGCACCCTGTGCCCCAGGCAGCCAAGGAGTGGCATGTAGAGCTGGGGAGTAGCTGGCTGGGGTGCAGTGTACCATGAGAAAAGGGGGGCTCTGCAGCATGCGGCGATGGGAGCAGACAGCACAAGGCTGTGCCACTCCCTGGCTGGTTGGGGCCAGGATGCTTCAGCGTGGGGGCTGCAGCGCACAGAGGTGGGAGAGCAGGCAGTCCTGGGCTGCCTGCTTCCCTGTCCCCGTGTTTGTCCTGGCAGAATGCACTTTGGTGTGCTTTGCGCCACCTTTTCTTTTCTGGGTTCTTTTTTTGCTATCAAGAAATCCTGGTCGCCTACAGTGTTTTAAGAGGGGCCTTCCTTAGGAGGGCTTTGGGCAGTGTAAACACACCCTGACCCTAAGCTTCTGCCCTGTTAGTATTTGGTTAATTCCAGTATGGAAAAAGGAATTCCAGTTCATTTTGGCCTTGAAGATCGTGAGAAACTTGCTCTTAAAGCAGAGAGGGCATGGACTCTGGATTATAGCATTATAATGTTAAGAACATTGCAGTTTTCAGAAACTGCTCTAAAAAGATTATTTAAAAAAAAAAAAAAAGTGAAAAAAAATGGGTAGTGATTTGAGGATTAAGCTTAATCCTCTGGCACTTACATAGGCAGAATGAGTGACTCTTGTGATCTTGTCCCATTGCAAGAGAAAGATGCATATTTCATCCATGGGGGTAGAAAAGTTAGCGTTACCAACTTTTCTGAAGTAGAGGAGAGAACTACCTTGGCTTCAGAGGTATTTCTCAGCTACAAGGAGAATAGATTGCCATATGCCTTGGTCTTGTTTTCCAAAGGCTAGGACATCTTTGTGTTTGAATTAGTATTCTTAACATTACTTACTTTGGCCATTGATTAGCTATAACTATGCTGAACACAACTGAAAGCAGCATCTAATTAGAAGGATACCATGAAGTTATAGTGGGTACATCAGTGAGATTAAGGTCATAAACCGATTCAGGCCTGTTGTTTAATTTTTTTGTTTTTCCCTTCTTTTTTTTAAAGATTTTTTTCAATAAGCAAACGTAAGGTTCTTCTCAAACATTTCAGCAATCATTTAACTAAAAAGTGTGGACAGTCCGGACACTGGTTTCTTGACTCCAAATGTATTGTTTCAGTGCTCTTTGTTTGCTTCCAAGTATACTCCAGAAGAGTCTTTGCATTGGCTTCTATTTGTCAGCAGATACCTTCTTTGGAAAAGGTACCTATTAAGTGTGTTGTTAAAAGCCAGAAATCTTACAGGCAGCTAGAATAAAGAGAGACTAAACAAAGAAAAAACAATTTACTATGAAATTAAGGTACTTTAAGTGCCAATATAACCTGGAGAACGACAAGTACTACTCTTGGTAACCATAGCAAAGGAGGCTTCTAACTCGCAATTATGACTCTGGAGGAAGGAAGGAATTTGCAAAATTTAATAAATTAGCTCTAATTCTAATCTTGACTTCAGAATAATGACAAATATGAATGTAAAGGAATTGCATACTATTAATAGAGAGTTGGCTGCTTCGTTTATTTGATGGCCAAAACTGCATCACAAGTTAAGAGGCAATTTTCTCTATTTAGTTGAGAGCGAAGAATGTGATGGTTTATACATGATATGGGATGTATACTATATACAATTCAAATGCCTTTGGACAACAGAACCTTTCATGTAATTGGAGAGCTCTTGGAAGTCTATGATTAGAGAGTATCACTTAGATTCTCCAAAGCCAGGCAGAACATCAGGCATCCTGTGGAGTTTAGTTACTTGTAAATTTGTGTGCTTCAGGTTGGAATTAACATCTGTCGGCAGACAGTATACTGCTGCTGCCCATGTTTCATGTGCTCACTGGATAGAGGACTACCATCTCTAAGAACAACATTGTGGGACTTGCAGCTTAGTTTATAAACACATTCTTCTAAAAGGAAAACAGGTTGGAATTTTCTTTTCAGTTTAAGTTTTCTAAAATTAAGTTTTCAGTACAATCCAGAATCTATTTCATGATCCAAAATAAACTAATAAATAAAACTGAGACATTTGCATTGTGAGGGGAGAGAAGGGGTAGTCCTCAAGAACTCAATCTGATAGTTTGAAGACATTTTTTGGAGACTGATTGCATGGTATAGACTTTCCTCCTCCTTTCTAGCTGAAAGAAACAAAACAGAAGAAAGGGGCAAAATGGTATTATTAACTTTTCAGAAAGGAGAAACACTCATTACAGACAGCTAAAAATATACCAGTACTACTCTTCTGTGCATTTGCACAAGTTGTAGTACCAAAACGTATGTGAAAGATGTGTTCTTCTGACTAAATTATTCTACCTTTTGCAATAAAGAATGTTCCATTCCAGCATATTACCAGTTATGATACATGCCTACATATATGTTGCCCTGAATATGTACAGCTTTTGGTAAACTGGTGTTTCTAATCACCCCTGACTATGCTATGTTGGGTAGGAGCTATATTCTGAATTCATTTCTACAAGCATTTAGTTTATTGCTGGATTTGGAGACTATGAAATTCTGCTTCTGTTTTAAATGAGAGTTTTACTTTATACCTAAGGGGGGGGGGGGTTGAGTTTTCACTGTAAATATTTTATTATAGGATTACCAGTAAAATAAAACATAGCTTTTTGTTCCCATTAATTCCTGAGAAAATCGTTAAAATAAAAGAAAACAAAGTTACTCTTTTGGGGAAAAAAAGCACTTTGTTCATACAGAAGACATAGCAGGGTGGCATCTTAAAGACATTAGAGACATATTCAGAAAAGCAGGAACTTTCACAAGCAACAGCCTACTTTCTGAATTACTTGATATCTAAGGTGCCACCCTGTTCTGCCTTCCTTCTTCCTAACTTTGGACTGATGTAGATAACTACCTCTCTACTTTGTTCATAGACATTTTTGTGAAATAGAAGATCATGTGCTTGAAGGAAGATGGAAAGTGGCATGTTCTACAGGAAACATTTGTGCAGTTCCTTCCTCTCTAACTTGAATTCTAATGCTTTCCTCACTTTGTTCAATTCAAGGGCTTAGTTTACATGCGCTAAAATAAACAGAATAGCACCTGCAGCTTACATAAATGGGAACATCTTGAAGTAGCTGAGCAAACAAATGAAATCATAAAGTAATTTAACCTTTTAGGAATGCTTCAAGAAATTTCTACCAGTGCTAATTTAAAAACAGGGGTTATAGGAAGGCTAAAAGACAAAGAAAAAGGTATAATAGAGTATGCCGAAAGCTGTGAATCAAATTAATCAGTTTTTTGAATTGCTAGAGATCCTCTTCAAAAAAAAAAAGTCTAATATTTTTCCTCATTGATTTTTCTGTTTATAGACATGCCTGTAAAGCACACAAGATGCTGAAAATATTAAAGACTTGATATTTTTGCTTCTACAAAGTTATTCTGGATAATTTAAAGGTACATTATATTTGGGAGAATAATGTATAAACATTTTGTTCCACACCAGTATTTTTTCAAAACACATTTTAATATTTTTGTAAAATTCAATAGACTTTTTTTTCTTTAACTGAATGCCTGAGTATATTTGAATATATGGTGTAAATGGGTGTTGTGTTAGAGCCTTTGCTGCCCCTAAATGTACAAGTAATAGCTGTAAAAAGGCCTGTATTATTTTATCAGTAATCAATTTTAAAAGTGCACCTTTTCATTCTCTTATAGGACTTTAAACTCATACCAATTTCTTGAACAAGTTTCTTGATTTTTTGCAATACCTTGTGCTGTAGAACCATGTGGAGATATAAATTAAGGCAGCATATCTAGCATTGTCTACTCACAAACCATAACAATAGGAAGTATATTACAGTTTGATTCCGATTATCTGAGTTTTTGGTGCTAATTTACAAACCATTTTAAGCCTCTGTATGCCAAATGTACCAGAGAGACCATTTCTCTTGTCATCTGTTAGTGCAAGAGTTGTACCCCTGGAGATAATATTCTTTTATTTTTGAGAGAGAAGTTCCTGACTGAAGTTGACTTTCTCAACATGTCTGTCCAACCACCAGTTTACTAGGTTTGTGTTCAATAAGCCATTTAAACAAGTGACTTGTATCAGGAGGGGATTGATTGGCCTTAGTGAGAGTGTTGAGCCTTTATTTCTTTCTTTTATATTTGTAAGGTTCTCTAGAGCCTCATACTGGTGCTTTGCTTGCTTGCTTGCTTGCTCACACACTGTGTGTGTGTGTGTGTGTGTGTGTGTGTAATTAAAATGGTTATATTTCTCTGTGATGATAGGTGAACAGAAATAAATATTATCTAAGGAACACAGATCTCAATTTAGAGCATTTTATTAAACAAAGTTACAAAAAGCATTAAAGTTAACATGCTGAATCTTGCCAACATAAGCTATTGCTTTTTCCAAAGATTAGTTTATTGATTTCAAATATGGAAATTATCCTATTTGTAAAAGTTTGAATGTTTTAATAAGTCTTCAACTGCTCCACTCTATTGTTTGTATAAAAGGGACAGTAACATGAGGCTGTAAAAATGTAACCACAGTAACTCAAATTAAATTATTTGGTCTTTGCATCTTTTATTTATATGATCATGGTACTTGTGCCACAAGTTTCCAGAACTTGGATGATCTGCAAGGTCCCTTCCAGACCCGATGATCTGTGAGGTCCCTTCCAGCCTCTAACAACCTATGAAAAACCTTGAAAGCAGTGGTCCAATGGGACCATTTATCCCCTCTCCTCTACCCTTTATACTTTTAGAAGTCTTCAGGGGTTGAGTAGTTTAACCTACCCTTCAGGGCCATCAGAGGTGCCATGAATGAAGAAGACAGGGTGTTAAACATACAGCCCATAAATGTGGCTCCTCTGGCCTGTGGGCTTCTCTGTGGCCAGACAGTACCCCTCAAGATCTGGCCTCTTGATGCTTCTTGCTGTGGGCTCCTAGAGCTGCTGTGCTGGCAGTACCTACGCGATTAATGCCACCCCACCCTTGGTTGCTGCCAATTGCTGTTTGGCATGTAAATCTATAGTTGGGGGTGTGAGCAGCAGTGCCGTTAACTTCCTCATGCTGGCCACACTGACACACACAGGCTCTGGGAGCTGCAATGAGAAGCCCCATGGGTTAGATGTGGCCCACTAACATATTTTGAGTTTGACTCCCCTGAATTAAGACATTGGTATTGCTTTCCTTGTTGTTTCTCTTCTTAAAGAAGGTGCCCATCTGTCATGGAATCTACTGCGGTAGCAGAAGCAGATTTAGGCAGGCTCGTTGACAACTGTGGATGGGGACGGTTTTTCAGCTCTGATTGGCTTAGTCAGGTTATTTTGAAGTTAACCAATCAATTGCGACAAATGATTTAGCCAGTCACTTGTCCTTATTGACTTATTCAATCAGTTAAGTCAATAAGGACAAGTGCCGAGTCCTGCACATAGGGCGGAGCAGGCCGGGGACTGACTGGCTAAGCAGCAGCTCTACAGAAAAGGACCCGAGGGTTACAGTGAACAGTAAGCTGAATGTGAGCCAACAGTGTGCTCTTGTTGCTAAGAACACTAATTACATACTGGGCGGCATTAGTAGGAGTGTTGCCAGCAGATTGAGGAAAATGATTTTTCCCCTGTATTTGGTACTGGTGAGGGAACTCCATCTGGAGTTCTGGGTCCAGTTTTGGGGCCAACACCACAGAAAGGATGTGGGGGGCAGTGAAAATGATTAGGGGGCTGGGGCACATAACTTCTGAGAACAGGCTGAGGGACCTGGGCTTATTTAGACCAGAGAAGAGAAGACTGAGAGGGGATTTAATAACAACCTTCAACTAGCTGAAGGGTGGTTCGAAAGAGGATGGAGCTAGACTGTTCTCAGTGGTGGCAGATGACAGAACAAGGAGCAATGGTTTTAAGTTGCGGCAAGTGAAGTTTTAGATTAGATAGTAGGAAAAGCTTTCTCAGAAGGAGGGTAGTAAAACACTGGAACAGGTTATCTAGAGAGGTTGCGAACTCTCCATCCTTGGCAGTTTTTAAGACCTGGCTAGACAAAGCCTTGTTTGGGATGATCTAGTGGGAGCTGGTCCTGCTTGGAGCAGGGGGGTGGAACAGATGACCTTCTGAGATCTCTTCCAACCCTTATTTTCTATGATTCTGTGATCTGTAAGTATAACAGCAGTGTAGGGTTCTAGGAAGCCTTGCTTGTTTCTTCTGAGAGTTAAATCTAGCTTTCAAAGTCAGCAAAGCCTGGATTCGTAACAAAAGATGGGTTTGAACAACAAAAAAAAAGAATCAAGATTTGTCTGTGGAATATGGATCCATGACTGATACACCTGGAGACAGGGCCAGGTACCAAACCTGCATCTGAATATGGCAGACAGGCACAGATCCAGGATCAGAGTTTGGATTGGAATTTGAGAGCCAACCATGGACAACCAAGCCCAATTACCAGTAAAGAATCTGATTGTATGGGGGTGAGCCTGAGGATATGATACCTTTGAGCATGGCAGAGTCACTTTTTAGTGATCTTGCACTATGAAGGGCTGGATCTATGTATATCCATGTAATTTGGTACTGCATTTCCAATACCATGATCTCTGCAAAATTCCTTTTCTGAGTGATTCTGGGCCTATTTTAGTGGCATGAGCAGGTAGGTCCAGCATAAAAATCTTCACAATATTGGAAAGGAGTAATTAATCCTGGCTTCTGATTTGATCAGTGACAGTGGTGAGGGCGGCATTAACTTCCTAGGTGTTGGCTATGCAAGCACAGCAGCTCTCGGAGCTCACAGCAAGAAGCACCACATTTACAGGAATGTGTTAACTATGTGCTTCCTCTTTGACAATTTTCAGAGGCAAGCTCTCTTTGCATATGTTTTCTAGAGAGGATTTTTCCAGTTTAGATGCTCCATCTGCCCCCTAAAATAAGAATAGAGGTATAGACCCAATTATAGGCTCTTGCTGTCAGAATTACTGGAAGCCAATTTAGCCAGTTCTGAAGCTGTTGTCTCCTTTCATTCTATACAGACCTCTTGCAGTTTTCTTGGTCTCTCAGCCCATCCCTAACAGCAGAAATTCAGCCATTCAGGACCAGGGTTATTGGAATTCTGACAGTCTGATGGCTTAAAGAAAACCTGATTAAATCAAAAGTTTTTTGAAGCTGTAAGAATGCTGTTCTTAGTTTGTGGCTCTGCATCAAATTCCTAGAGATAAAGGCAGTTTCTCTGACGTGAAAGACTTCTCCTTTTATAAAATTTAAATCTGTTGAAATTCTGCTGGAAGCATTATGACAATGCATTGAACAGATTTTCTGGAAGTAGGTGGCATGCTTTTATAAGGACCAGGAGGCCCTTCCTTTAGCCCTGCTTGCCACACCGAGGGAACAGTGGATATAAGAAAGAGGAAGCTCAGCAGGAAGAGAGTAGCCGGGGGGCGCGGATGACAAATAAGCTAGTTTTAGAGGGAGCTCCCCCTTGAAGGGTTATTACAACCTACAGATGCTATTGAGAGCTACTTTAAGTGCTACCCTAAGAGTAGGGAGAGACTGTTAGAGAATTAGATGTGTAGTCAACATCAAACCACCAAATTGAAATGGTAGTTGATGTAAAAGAGGAAATTAAGGTAGGCATACTGAAACATAATAGAAAAGGCACCAACGGGCAAAGTTAATAAGAATATTGTAGTGCTTCCTGCAGCAAGAGCAGGAATTGCTCTACATAAGTGGTACTCAATATTTTGGCTCTGTGGTCCATATGGTTAATGTGGAGCCATCTGTGAGCAGGACTGGGCCTCATGCATACTGGGATCAGGCCTCAAGCCCCCATACCACCTCCACCTGGTCTCATAAGCTTTCAAGTTGGCAGGGCCAGATGGAATGCACCCTAGGGTACTGAGAGAATTGGCTAAGGTAAGTTCAGAGCAATAGATTATCCTTTCTTAGAATTTGTGGAGGTCAGATGTGGTCTTAGGTGTGGAAAAGGGCAAATATAGTATCCCTTTTTTAAGAAAGGGAAAAAGGAGAATCCAAGGAACTGCAGACCAGACAGTCTAACTTCAATATCTAGAAAGATCATGGAGCAGGTCCTCAAGGAATCTATTATCAAGCACCTGGAAGAGAACAAAGTGATGAGGAGCAGCTAGCATGGATTGACTAAGAGCAATTCATGCCTGACCAACCCAATTTCCTTCTATGAAAAGGTAACAGGCTCTGTGAATCAGTGGTGTCAGACTGTAGTCTTGAACCTGAGGTATCTGCCTGGAAAAATTGCTTATCCATGCCTGCCACCCCATGAGTAGTCACCCAGGCTAGTCGAGGCTGAAGTCTTCAGTAGGATGCAACCCTTTGTCCTCTCCCTGGCACTGGAGTGGCTGGCCAGCGTCAGCTGACCCTGGATTTTTTTCCCCTGTATAAGCCCCTGACCCAGAACAGGAATTGTCCAGGCAACAGGCATCAACCTATGTGGCATTG